ACATAGGTAGCGTTGTTCCTTCCCTTGACCAAGAAACAGATCTGATCTTAGCATTTGTCATACTGATATTATTAATACGATCGGAAACTAGTTCTCTTTCTCCTCTGATGATTAAGCAGATATTTCCACTTCTTTCATATTTCTTTTATATGGAAATAGAACTCTTTTTCGAAATGCATCTTGTGAAACAGACGTAGTATTGAAAAATGTACTCCACATCTGAGTTGAGCAGTGAGAACCTACAATACTTTGATTTTACCACTCGATTCAAGTGACCAGCAAAAAATCAACAACTGATTCACAGTTCGTTTACATCAATAAGGTATATCAATGTCTCAAAAGCCTGCAAAAGATCACCGGAAACCCAGGCTTATAATCATCTAAACCTGCTTTTATTGCTCACCTATAGTAGGGACGCGCGATTAGATCACATGATCATGTAGTCGATTACCATTAGTAATGATTGCATTTCAAAAAGAAGATACCATCGTCAAACAAATCCAAGTATTCCGATTGTATTCTTGTCACACCAATGGTGTAGCCTTTTCAGTATTCATGAAATCTAATGTTGAGACGTTATAATGTTCACAAATGATGAACTCTTAAAACCAAATTAAACCTTCTTGAAGTCACTCTCATTCACCGACTAGTTGTAGTATAATATGGACGACAAGTAAGAATAGGTAATATAAACCAGTACATAGATGGCAGGAAAAAGTCATAAAGGCGCAATGGTTTCCAGAATTGAACGGGCAGAGGGTTAAAATTATCACATCCGCTAATATAAATATGGATTATAACCATTTTTTCGTGTGGAACAAAGTGAATTATTCAGCCTTTTCCGCCTCACATCCGAACATATCGAACTATACATTTAACGAGCCTATAGTCAGTTCGGCCGATTTCATAAATGTTAGAAAACAATAATAAATATACTTTGTAAAATAAAAGTATTTAATGATTAGTTCTGGAATTTATTTCGTCAACAGTATTGTTTTTGCATTATATTAGCGAAGAACAAAGAACGATCACGATCACTGATTCAAAGGAAATTCTAACATGCTAGTGGAAACCACCCCCTAGCATGCATTAGAAAATAGCACAGAATAGATAGTTGTTTAGTAGTTCACGTCGCATACTTTTCCCAGTTACGATATTCAATGTGCCCACACATTCACTCAAAGCAGATACTAAGTAAATCTAGAAGACGGGTCTTTAACTATACATATTTGGGTCGAACGCTTCCAACTAAACGTGTTTCAAAGGTTGAAGAACCCTTGAAAAACGTCAGAGTCTACGATTATGCGTACAGTAGAGTGACTTCATCGCAAAAAAAAACTTCAGTAAGGAGCAAGTTGAGCGCCACATTTACGCCCTTAGATAAATATCAGCATGATCCAAGGCAATGGCTGTTTCTAAAACTTACAATTAATATTCAATATAAATTTTAAGAACTTTCAAAGCCTTACCCGAGGTTGGTATGTCAGAGCCATACATGCACCTCATTAAGCGCTGCACTGTAGCAACGGGGTAGGTGAATGTGGTGACAGCACAACGGACAATGACGTTGTGCTATCACCACTTTTCAATCGATGGATCGCGGCTGGTAGATCTAATTTGATCCATAATATTGGCCGTTTTTGAAACGCTATGCACCGAAATCGGTACATATGGTCCTCAACGAGTTAGTGAGGGACGTGGACCACTGAAGAAGAGGGCGGCACGACTTCCGAAACATGAGTGTATGGCTTTGGCATACAAATATCGGGTAAGGCTTCAAACATTCTTAAGAATTACATTGAATGTTTATTGCAAAGTTGAATGGAAGGGCATGATTCATACTATTAGTTATGAGCGGTCAAGTGTTGGCCACTGATCACGTTATTACGAAAATCAGACAGAGTATTTGACTGATAAGAATATCCCTTTTTGTTTATTGCCGCTTATAAAGTTCTATCACCCAGCTTATATTGATTCCTTTACCGCTCCTGCTTCTATCAAAGAAGCCGCTCTTCAAATCGATGTAGAAACATACCTCTGTGAAGAAGCCTTCCTTGCCGCATCCTCCTGAACTACTTCCATCGGTTCAGCAACTGATAACGCCCTGGATTGCCTGCTGTTCTCTTTGAGCGGAACATTGAGAGCAGGTTTTTCCCGCGTGATTCATTTTTCTAGACGAATGTAATGACCTAAAATTTCAAATATTAATCGACAAGTCAAAGGACTACGACAGAGACTACCTGCGAAGGCAATCGATGAATTTAGCGAAGTAAAGATGTTGTTAGAAGAAGCACAAGAGGGGATTGATAAAAAAATGCCGATCGCTTAAGAGAGAATGGTGGCTGCCCACTGCGACGTGGAGTGGTCTCCCACGCAACCGCGACGCGGCTAGGCGCGCATTCGTTGATCTACCACGGATGCGCGCGACGTTGCAGATGATTGCCGACAGCACCGCACAGTTTCAAACATGTCTGACATAAAAGACAGAGTGAGAACGTCGATGGTGTAAAGAAAAACCAATGACGCCTGATAAGTGTCATCGACGCTCGAAATAGCGTAAGAATCCAAATTTTGCTCACAATTTAAAGCTCTGGTGATATTAAATCATATCTTATCCGGTTGTTAAAAGTCTATCAAAGTCGAAAACAAACGTCAAAAAATGCAATTGGAGTTTAGTCACTACCGCTTCCACAATGTGACGGTCCATTTTGCACGGCATTCGTGTTCCTTAATGATCTAATCTTAATCAAATGGAATTCTCACTTTGCGTCTTCTTCTAATTCACACGAAATCTTTCTGTTCTCTCCTTTCTATAGCAGATACATTCTGGTCTTTGTGCAGTCGGTACTTCGTTGCTGAGAGAAGTCCGTGTCTGAAATCTGTGTTTCACTGTGGGTGGCAAGTTCCTCAGCACCCACTATGATCGTTCTGGAGGAAGTGAATGCCTCCATCGGTTCATGTTATGTTATTCGAGTATATGCGGAAAGTTTTCGGTATGCATGAACGCAGCGACGCGTAGGAAAAATCGGCTATACACTATCAACGCTATTAAGAAGAAGTAATTAAAATTGCTTTACAGATCTTTCTAGAAATTAACCTTATCTTTATTCAAAATTTGCATGTGGTTGGTAGTTACTTCTCCTCTCAGTTTGATGGCTAACCGATCAGCGGCAACACCTTTGTGAGAGCCCAGACGTTACATATCATACCATCTCTGATCACTCGGTTAACACTTTGTATATATCAAGGATCCAGTAGAAAAGAAATCAGCAGTCTAGTCATTCTGAAAAACCCCACCTCATTTAGTTTCATGGGAGCGGTCACCGGCTTAGTGTGACACAATTTGCAAAATGAACCACACTCAAACCTAATGATGAATCTGAAATAAGGTGCCATATTACTTACTATGTTTAGGCCTTCTCCCCTCCTAATCATTTCTGGTCTTTTGCAATTTATCGAAAAAGCCTCAAAGTTTCTCGCGCTGATGTCTTTGTTTCTTGCCAAAAGAATCTCACAACCACTCCAAAGTCCGTATCATCATTTTTTGCACTTTGTGTGCCCCAAAAGCCTCTTGATTCGCTGTTGACTTTCCCATCTAAGTGTTCTTTGATGCGGATCCAAAGTGGTCTTCTTGTCTCGCCAATGCACTCTTCACCGCATGTTGTGCAAGAGATCAGGTATATTACTATTACTATTACTATATCACTTCATAATGTATTTTTCGAATGCAGAAAGTCGTTCCTAACAAACGAGTGAATTCATTTGATAAGAACCATACCTCAATGAAGTCATTCTCGGCATTTGAATCTGTCGTAGAAGTTCCTTGTGAGCCGACACGAGGTTGTGTGCAGCCAGCACAATAGCTGACGCCGTTCCGGCTGCTTTCGCGTCGGTAAACTCTAGGAAGGTAAATATGAAATGTGATACACTTAATCAAGCACTCCTATCTTCTCAACAAGAAGCAGAAAATTCGGTAGAAAATCTAAGTCTGCATAGTAAACAAGGGGACGTCTTGGCCGAGTGGTTGTGATACTCGTCGCGGAGCGCGTGGAGTCGGGTTCTACCCTCAAACACTCTACGGCAGTTAACATTAATGCCCTATGGAACGCCACAACCACGCATTCCTCGAGACTGCTAGAAACTTGCTCAACTAGTGTTCTACAGCGTCCAAGAAGGAGACTAAAACCGAGTTGAACGCTAGAATTTCTGGAATGGCACATTGGAAGAAGAAACGCTGTGATGACTGATCAATAAAGTGTATAAAGAATTGGCCAACAACAGCTTCTCTTCAGAAACACTTACCGTTCTGCATGCCGTCCACGGGTCGTCTGGATGCTCTCGGGAAAGACCACACTGCGAAAGTGTCATCCGCGGCAAGCGCAGCGTGCTGCTGACGCAGCCGAAAAAATCGATGGAGGATACGCCGCGAGACGCGCCACCCACGTGTCATGACGTGACTGCAGCACTCATTAGCATACCGTACTCGCTGCGGTCCTGCGAATCGTCTCGTGTTGTCCTTCTGCTACCTTGTCAAGTGACTTAACGTTTGCTTTCGTTCAACTCTCGTCCGTATCGCTATGGACTTTGTTTGACTGTTTGGGTCTGATTACGCTGCCGTCAACCGTTTGTCGAACATATTTGAAAGAATTCCTCCATGTACAAAATATTTTTTAATTTCGTAATTTATGGCGTATTTGCTGCAAATCATCAGGTCCCCCAAGGTTTTCCGTAAAATGTTCTAAGCGCTGAGTCGACGTCGTTCTTCACGTTCCTTCTCCAAATTAAATCTCCTTTCAATGGTTTGTCGAGTGGTTTCACTTAGTGGAGACAAAAAACTTTGGAGCCACCTGTACGGAGAGATCAGTCTTGTTTTGATCTCTTCTAATCAATTTTCTCTGATAATTCTGATGTGCATGCGTTTAAGGCTGCATTAAAGTATTTTTTAGTCCTAAGAGAATTGAATGGTTAGCAAAAACAGTGAGTGAGCGTGGCGGAAATGTACCTCTGTTGTGTAGTGGTAGAACATGCATCCCCGGATAGGATAAAACGAGGGTTCGACTCCCGCCTGAGGGTGTGTTTTTGCTCACCGCTCAATTCTCTTATTACTATATGAATGACCATAACACTGCGAAAAATGCAGTGAAAATACTAGAAATTTTCAATTTTCTAGGTCATACTTTTCACGTAAGCTACATTTGGTTTTATTTTTTCTCCAGGTCAGTGATCTAATGGATAAATAATTGGCTGAAGGAGCAATCGTTTCTATTTTCCACTAAATTCGTAATGATTATTAATTTTTTGCCTTCGTTCAGTAGCTTCGTTCGTTATATTCCATGGTGACGTAGTTCGAGCGCTAAACTTCTACGGCGCAATGATTTTCTTTTCAAATACAATCGTTTATTCTTTTGAACAGGAGGGAATCGCCTCCATGCAGTATGGAAATTTTCACCCTTTTTTCTGACGACAGGCCCACTGCGATAGCACCAGCCCCGTGCAACGGTGAACAGTCCGTAGTGTTGAGTGGTTAGTGGTCCCGGCCATCGCCATTGAGAAGAGGGTTTCTCCTCCGCCTCCATTCCACGACGCTTTACCGCAGTTTTCTGGGCATTTTCTTGTTTTCATATCACTATGCACTTATCACTAGCACGCAATATTACGCCATATCTCATATCAAACACTATAGAGAATACGTTTTCGGTTCGACTTCAACAACATCGTCAAAAGAATTGCGAAGAAAAGGTTGAATATGCGTTGTTACCTTGCGGATCAATGTTTCGCTTCAAAAATAGTGCAATTTCAGACAACTGAGCGTTTCGCTAGCAATAGTTACATTGCAGAAACACCTTCAGTGCTAACCGCACGAAACATAGCTCCAAAAAATCTGCTGTGAGCGTCGTGATGGATATCGGACCAGCAATCTGCTTCCCGATGAAAGCATCACTAAGCACTCGAAGGACTCCGCTCGCGGTAGGATGGAGCTAGGCCGTGGCATGTCGTACCAAAGTGTTGGGCCTCTCTAAGCAACACTGGTGCAGAGACTGAGAAAATGCGATAGCCAACCAAGACGACATCTTTTATTCTCTTGATTATATTTCGACTAGTAAGTCATGCTCCGGAGCATTATATGAGCCCATGTAATTTTAAGGTTTCGCTTTTGGCTAGAGTTCTTCAATATTCACTATCTGACACGTTGTATCACACTACTCAAATTCAACATTATTTCGCCCACATCCGTCCTGTTAAGAAACATCCAGATTGTCTCTATAATTCTGCCTTCCCGAGCGTCACTAACCAGCGATTAACCAGGTTGGTCATCAAAACGATTCTATTTTCGTAATGCCATCTCACAGATCTTTCGCTTGTTATTTGCTCATACGATCGCTGCTCGAATTTACTGAAAGAGTGACACGAAAGAGGATGACATTCATTGAACTTTGTGTCTAGAAGTTCACCCGCCTTTGATTTTACGACGGGCATCATCTTTTTCACCTCTTTTTGGCAGGTATGGTATGTTCGACGTCGCATAGTTATGTTGTGATGAGCTTTCTGATGTGTTGCGTGCTTACTCAAATTTCTTGGACTGCCACTGTAAGGAGGGCTCAGGATGAAAAACTGCACTTAATTCTATATCGTTTTTCTAGTACCTTATAGCAGATTAGTGACTGCCTTAGCAGGATTTGTCGAAGATTTGGTTGGCAAGGATTATACATGAGTTTTTGCGTAATCGGGGTTGAAAAAATATTAGAAATAAAAAAAACTCGGAAAAGAGGTGAAAAAGAATAACAGTGCTATTGATGGGTATTTGTATTGCTTTGTTCAAAAGTTAGCCATTTAGTGGCTACGATAGATTTTCATACCGATGTTATGGATTCCTAAGCCTCTCGACTAATTCAAATGCGCCAGAGGATTCAGAAGAGTTGAATTCTGGTTGAAGGCAGACTGCATGACGATCTCTCAACAGACTATCATGTGACATTCCTTCATTTCATACAATGAGCCTGTCGAATTCTACGTTATAACGTGATCGATCGTGGTTTGCTGTGAAGTCTCGGTCGAGAACAATGTTCTTCACAATTTCCTATGGTATCTTGACACAATGCTTTGATTTGCAGTGTTGAGTTAGACAATGAACGATTAAGCGAAATAGCGGTCACCTGTATTACAGAAATTTCAGGTGACTAGTTAGTACCTCTGTCAATGACTGATGTTAAGCAAGACGAAATTGTTGAATAACGTATCAGTTGAAAGATATGTAATATTTGTTTGCTGCTCTGTGAATACGTTATTCCATATTCGAGAGGACTCAGTTGTAATACAGCTGTCAGTGAGAAACTTGGCAATTTTGCCATTTCATCAACGTTCTATTTCTGTTAATTCCTCAATTGATCTTTCACGCGGAGGTGCCCTCCAGTGGTCTTCGCTCTAATTCGATATTTCAATGCGCTTTGTCGAGGACTGAAAGACTACTTTGAATTCATTTCAACGTGAACATTGCTGGCAATTGACCTAATCACCTGTATCACCTGCATCACTTTTCGCCCTGTTGATGGTCGAGTGACTCGAGCGTGCACCAGCAACACTTCCATTTTTCCCTATCGCGTGCAGGAGTGTCCCAGTGGGTCCTCCTCGCTCTAGGGATTCGCTAAGCATCTTTTATGCTATTCGTAAAAAAGTCGGACCATTGGGTCGGTGGTCTTCCTGTAAAGCGCTTGATATCCCGAGGAATCCAGTCGGTAACGGCTCTCGTCCATCGGTTGTCGTTGAAAGCGCATCACTGTCCAGCCGACCTTATTTTCGATATCCTGGCGTGTAGAAGGGCGTCTTAGATTTAAGATAGTTGACGTAGGTCGGAACTTCGGATCCTTTCCTCTCATTTGCGAGATAGGGGATACTCCAGCATCGACCTTTCGACTGCGCGTTCAATAACGCCAAGTGATCTTTCATTCTGCATACGTAGCGATCAGGTTTCTGCTGTATATGTTAGGGCGGGGATAATCGTCGAGTCAAAAAGGTGGACACGGAGTCGGATGTTCTTTGTCCTCTTCACTACATCTTCGATGCTCTCAAACATTCTCGAAGCCGCTCGTTTACTCCTGCTCAACTCTGGAGCTAGGTTGTTCATCATGTTGAGTTGACGATTTAGATAGACAACTGAAGCATTCAGAGATTTTTGTTCCGTTAGGCGTGAATGGGGCATTCAAAAGCCATCCGCCCCTCGTGAACATCGTTTTCGTTAGATTTAGGTGAAGGCCAATTTTCCACACGCTTTGTCGAAATCGGTCAACATTCGTTCCGATTGGGTGATGCTTGTGTTATGAGATCGATATCATTTGCAATTGACCTAATACATTTGAAAAAAGATGGCGACATTGCTAAAGGCTGTCTATGCCTGCATGTTGTTTAGACGAAATTTTTTGTTTAATCGCTTCTAGCGGGGTTATGATGTTGCGAAGAATTAGATTTGATAATACATATATTCAATATCTGTCAGCATGAGTAGGTTCAGTGTCGACATCGTCTATTATACCAAACCGTTGAAGGTTGGTTGCTGACAGGTTGATGCGTTGTAGTGTAATAGTGGTGGCAAAAGAGGCGTCGGTGGAGCAGCTGGTTCAGCACGCACCCCCAGAAAAGGTGAGATGCAGGTTCGAGTCCTGCTGAGAAGGTTTTGCAAACTACCCGCTATCATCGGATATGTGTTGATGAATTGAGAATCTGATATTTTGAGTACATATCCTGAGACTTTCATGAGGCCTGTTATGGCACTTTTACGGCGCAGGACACGTGTTCCGGCATTACGGCCGCGTCAATTGCGCGGTGCCCTTTGGTTCAGTCAGTTCTGCGAGCAGATATTCCTCGCTAAGAAGAACCGACGCTGAAGTACTTACACGCGCCGTCAAGTGATGAAATCACCGACAGGCAGTGTTGTATACTCGATTGCTCGTTGCTGGTAAAACATGATTGTCATACTTTTCGTTTTGAAAGTTTCTTAAGTGTGTATATGTGTTTTGCCAGCCACGAGCGATCGAGTATACAACACTTCCTGTTTGGTGATTTTATCACTTGACGGCGCGTGTAAGTACTTCGGCGTCGGTTCCTCTTAGCGGAGAATATCTGTTTGCAGAACTGACTGAACCGAATGGTACCGTGACAGGTGAGGAGGCTGTAATGCCGGAACACGTGTCCTGCGCTGAATAAATGCCGTAACAGACCTTATGAAAGGCTCAGAATATGTCATCAGATTATAGTGTTTCGTCCGAGGTCTCAAAAACACTCAAAGAAAAGTGGTTCTTTCTAAGTAGTAGAGAACAAATGAAAACTGATCTAATTTGCTGGAGAAGAACTTTTCATAGGAGTGATAGTAACCATTCGAAAGCGGAGACTTGAGGCTAGAGCCCACATGACCGGTTTCCAAAACACCCCTTTATAACACCTTAACATTCGAAACAAAATCGTCTTTCATATAACCACGTGTTCTTCACTTATCTCGTTTATGTTTTTCTGGACATAACTCCTTTCTCAGAATACTAATACTGAAGTCATAGCACAAGCTTCAAGAACGCAAGCATGTGTTTGTTTCTTGAAAAATCTCTGATGATTTTTAATCCCCACTAAAATTTTGATCTGTGCCTCAAACCTCGCCGGACAGGGCTCTCTCTTAATACTATTAGTAATCATCTGATAGCTCAATGCTTCCTGGTTCTAGCGACGTGCTTATTTCCTGGAAATACTGCTTAGCAGAGAAAATAAGCCTAGTTTTACATTTTGGTAAGGTTGTTTACAGGCTATTCGATAAGGCGAGGGCCGTGACAGGGCGGGGCGAGGTAGGACGATTGATACATAGTTATGAAATAAGATTTTTTCCTCCATTTCGAAAAAACTTCACATAAAACGATTGACTAAGATACTATTATAATTTTTCCAGACACTGATATGCTCTTCGGCTTCCAGCGAATTATACGCGTAGCAAAAATGAGGTTGAAAGGTGAGTGTGATATATAATTTTTGATCTGGATGCTGCAACACTATGAAGGGATTTTTAAAAAAACGGCGACGTGCTGTAGTTTGAAGTC